TTTAGATCATTTTTTATTATCCAAGAAACGTTCCGAGCGCCTGTAAATAACACTGGTGTTTTTATTTATATCCACACAAGTACGCATTTTCGCGTATATAAATATTGTTACTTGACTAAACGTCCACCAATACCTGACATAGTTCAATCATAATAGGAAACATGTCATATTCAACAAATACTCACCTCATGGTCAATTATTTGTTCCGAGTTTCTCGCTCGATTGGCCGGTAAGCGCCGCCATTTTTTTCATTTTTTTTGTGACCACTTCATGCGCACGCGCAAAGTGCATCACCATGTTTTCGTAAGGCGCTCTGTGATTGGTTGACTAATCCAGTCAGCGGAGAGGTACTTGAACGCGATTTGTATAGGTAGTTGGTCAGATCCTTGTGGGCTTTCGCGATTACCAAAACTTAAAAAAAATACCAGCAAATAAATTTTGAAAAAAAATAATAGAATATATGAAAAAAATATTAATGATATTATTTTAACAAAAAAAAAAAAAAAAAAAAAAAAGCCCAAACTAGGATCTTATTTTAATCAGATTGGGGAGAACACTGCTTATGGCATATTTGTCTTTAAACTTCTGCAGCGCATTGTAGATATTTGATGCATCTAGTTTATACTATTTTTCAGATTTAATTTATTTCTTATATTCTCAGATTATATTAATTCTAACATGGCTGATGATCCTGATCTGAAAGACAAACTACCCATGAAACATGGCAAGGAACTATTCAAAAGTGTTGGTGATGGAATCATGCTATGGTAAGCAAGCCATCATATAACATAAATTAAATGATTTGTTTTGGGTTAATCAAAGTTGTTCAACATAGAGTTTGAGCTAGCGTTGGACAGTGTAATGCAATACCAAAGTCTGGTCTAGTTTCAACCTTGGTGAACTGACTGTCTGTTGTCCTTTTTTGGCAAAAGTCTAGTGTTTTTAGCTCCGCTGTTGACTTTGTCGAGCGGAGCTTATCATATGAGTGATTGTCCGTCGTTGTCTGTGTCAATGTTTTACTTTTTAGTCCCCGTTCGGACATAGTCCGAAAACGGGGACTTATGTTTTGCCCTGTGTGCGTCCATGCGTGTGTCCGTGATCACCTGTATCTCGAACATGCATGGACTGATCAAGTTCAAACTTTACTTGTACATCACACATTATATGGGACATATGCACATGCATTTTTTTCATGATCCGATTAACGATAGTCGAATAGCGGCCATTTTAAGGCCGAAAATGCATCAAAATCGCATATTTTCACCATTCCGGACCCGGATCTCAGTTATGCATGGACGGATTTTGTTCAAATTTGGTACATACATTAAACATAATAGAACCTTGATGCATGTCATTTTTTTTTTTTGGGATCGGGTTTGAAATGGCCGACTGGGGGCCATTTTGTTTTAAAGAATTCAGTTCTGGATCCGTATTTGAGACATGTCTGGATTGATAGAGTTCAAACTACACACACACATGGTACATCATGTCACAAATAGATATGTATATTTGTTTCATGATCCGCTTAACAATAGCTGAATGATGGCCATTTTAAGGCCGAAAATGCATCAAAATCGCGTATTTTCACAATTCCGGAACCGGATCTCAGTCATGCATGGTTGGATTTTGTTCAGATTTAGTGCATACATTAAACATAATATAAGCTTGATGCACACTAATTTTTCTTCGGATCAAGTTCAAAATGGCCGACTGGTGGCCATTTTGTTTTAAAGAATTTAGTTTTCGATCCATATCTCGGACATGCCTGGACAGATCAAGTTCAAACTTCAAATACACATCATACATTATATCATACATATGCCTGTGCATTTGGGCCAGTCCTTTTAAGGTCAACAATTTGTCAAAATTGCACATATTCACCATGGGTGAATTTAGTTCACACTTCACGTTGTTTTGTTTTCCAAATCGGGTTTTAACTGAATACAGTTCAGCATCCATATCTCAGGCATGCCTGAACCGATCAAGACCACACTTCACACACATCATACAATGTGTTGTACATATGCAGGTGCATTTCGGTTCAGACCACTGAAAGTGGTCTGAGATTTTGGTCATGATCTGCTTTGAATGTATATGTCACTCAAATATGAACGGAACAGGAACGTGTCATTGACAATGACTTGTTCGACTTCTTTTTGAAAACCATAAGCCTGAATGCTTTGATACTTGGTGTATATGTACCCTGGGTAGACCTCTCTTAGATTTGTTCATTTCATGATATCTTCAATTCTCTAATTTTGGTGAATATTTTGACATTTTTGGTAAAAAGTGCTATTTTTGACTTCTTGTTAAAACCGCAAGTCCAATTGCTTTGATATTACATATATAGGTACTACATGTGGACCTCTCTCAGATGTGTCAATTTCGTGGCGATATCTTCAATTATATAATGTTAATGATTATTTTTGTCATTTTTGGTCAAAAGTGATATTTTTAAATTCTTGTTGAAAACAACAAGTCTACATATTGTTAATTTTCTAATGATATCTTCTGTTCTTTAATTGAAATGTGCATTGCTAACAGCGGAGCTATCTCAGCCGGCAGGCTGCTTGTTTATTTTATTCTTGTAAAACTGTGATTAATAATTTAATAATAATATTTCTATTGTTTTACAACAGCAAACTGATCAACTTGTCTCAGCCAGACACCATTGATGAACGGGCCATCAACAAAGGATCTAAATTGAATCTTTACCTGAAACATGAGAATTTGACCTTGGCTTTGAACTCTGCCAGGGCTATTGGATGTAACATTGTCAATATCGGTCCTGATGATTTAATGCGTGGTACAGAACATTTGGTTCTGGGTTTGATGTGGCAGATTATCAGGGTATGTTTCTGACACTTGTGTATATGTGTATATATTTGTAGGACACTTTAATTCTCGCTGACAAATTATCATAAATTGCTTTCACAAGTAGTATTTTCGTTTGGGTTTTATTTTCTGATGAGTGTTATTCCTTTGGTATAATTCGATTGAGAGTGGCTTTGAATGGTTGATTGATGGTTCTCTTTAAAAGTAGACCTTGAGTTGAAAGGTGCTCAAAATTGAACCATTAGATTCCCGGTCGCCACAAAAACCAAAGATTCTCAGTATGCATACATATGAGAATGTCTGGCATTTTTAGTAATTTCTACCACACCCCTACCTTATTTTCTCCCTCCAATTTTGTTCTTATTTCTGTTTTAGGTTGGATTGTTCGCAAAGATTGATCTACAGCATAACCCTGGCCTCTTCAGACTCCTAGAGGAGGGTGAGGATCCGGACCAACTACTGAAGATGGCACCAGAAGACCTGTTGATGCGATGGGTGAATTACCAGATGGAACAAGCTGGACATCCCAGGAGAATTCATAACTTTAGTTCTGACATTAAGGATTCAGAGGTGTACATACATCTTCTCAAGCAGATTGCACCTGACAGTGTGGGACTTGACACTTCTGCTATGCAAGTGAGTTTTACATTTTAGGATTAAGTGAGGCATGTTTGGCAGTGACTGCATTCAATGAATTGTCTTGCTGTTTGATGGGATGTTATGTGGATGATTGACAACTAAAAAAAAAAACTAACAAATATGATTTTCAAAGCATCAATCATCTGTGCATTTTGGCCCCATTAATGAGTATATGTAATTGTGTCAAACAAGATTTGTGCTCAATTATGTAATAGAATTTCTTTTATTTCTGACTGTAATATTAATAATGGTCTGACCATACTTGTTTGAATATTGGTCATATATGTACTATGGTTAATCTATGAGTAATACTTGCATACAAAACTTGATCTGCTCACAGCATTGTATTGCTAAATAACTGCCAATGGTGAAATGTGGTTTTATCATGTAGGTTTCACACTAGATTTGATTTCATTTTTTTTTGCCCTTAAGGCAAAAAGAGCTGATATCAAATGTTACACTACTGAGCATGTTACTGCACATGTATGCAATGCATTATGGGAGATATCCTCCCACTTTTTATAATGAAAACTGTTATCACCCTGGAAACTCACTAAATTATAATAAGTTTTTCTTCACATGTCACAAAGCAATTTTGTTTTTCAGATATGAAGAAATAATCTCACCATAGAAAACTATGCCAATTTTGACCATTTTCTAAACACTCCAATGACCCCTTTTTTCAATTTTGGTTTTCTAATGGTATAAACTTGTATAACTAAAACAATGACAAAAATTATTCAATCTTTAATTGGGCTGGAACATCTATAATTGGTATAACAGTAAAGTGAATTTTATCCCCATGACATTCATAGCGTTCATATTGTGTTTAGATTTGTCATCCACCATGAGGAGGAAACAACTACAACTGGTACGCAACCATACAACATAGCTTAGACTCATCAAAAGCAGTTTGTCACCTGTGAATGTGACCTGTGTAGTCAAGAGATCAGTCCAGTCTTTGTTAAATACCTAGAAACCATATCCATTTAAAAATATCAAAACATAGTAGCAGTGAACATTTTCTGGTATTTAACTCATAATGACTTTTTCAGAAAGTTGTGTACTCAAATTTCCTAACTTCATCAAATCTTGAATATTTTTGCAATAGCAAAGCTAATGCATCTTGTGAATAATTAATCATGAAGATATGTATCAAACAAGCAATTGAAACTTAAAAAAGTGACTAAAGTTATAACTATTGCGTTCTTGAAATAATTTCTCATGTTGCAGTTATGTAGTGCAAGTTGTTATTAACGCAGGTTGTCCACATTTGACCCCTTTCATGCTTACAACTTTCTATGATTGTGTAATTAGTATCGATAATATCTCCTAGTAGTGTTTTTGTGATGCATCTAAATGGGAGTGCTGTGAAAAAACAATAATTCGTCTTACAGGAGAGTGATCATTTGACACGAGCTGAACTGATGTTGGACAATGCAGATAAAATTGGATGTCGACAGTTTGTACAAGCCACTGTAAGCATACATCTCATTCTCAAATACTGTTCTTGTCTCGCATAATAATTTTTCCCTATCTCATTTACAACAAACCATGACCAAAATTGTTTTTTTAGTGGGCTATAGTATTATTTTTATTGATTTGTCATACATTACATGCAAAATGTTGGCAACTCATCATGAGGCCATGGTTTTATTTTTTGCTGTTTTTCTTTATGATATTGATGATATTCTACCATAAATAAGTGTCCTTCCCTCCCTACAGGTGAAAATTGCTTTAAATATTCTGAATTTGGTTTTGCATTTTTCTCAGTAGTTAATATGAAATAATAATGTCAACTAGCATTTTAATTTGATTGGCTTCAATTAAGCATATTGTACACCAGGAATATCTGGTCAATGGAATATCAAATGTGGATAGTTGTGATGTTTAATTCTCATTCAGACAAAACAGGGACTTAATGATTAACCACTGAGCGTCCATCAATCCGTATCCAGCCTTATTTCGTGCATAATTGTGTGATCAGATTCAAACTTCACAAATCCGACATTATATTAGACAAACGCACATGTGTTTACGTCACCATCAAATGCAAAATGGCTTACTGACAGTCATACTAGATGCAGTTCCAAGGAGCCATATCTCATACCTGCCTGAACCAATCAAGTTCATCCTTCACACATTAGGTATATCTATATACATACAGGTATATAATGCAAACAGGGACTGTCATTAAAAATGACTTGTTTTATATAAATTGCTCCTTTGTTTGCAGGATGTTGTGAGCGGCCATTCAAAACTTAACATGGCTTTCGTAGCCAACTTGTTCAACATGTACCCAGCATTAAAGCCACCAGATGAGGGAGAAGGGGATGAATTTGAGAGATATGAAGAAACTAGAGAAGAGAAGAGTATGTATAGAGACGTTATTATTATAGATAAATTAAAAAGATCACCCGATGAAATAAACCGTCAGAGTTTAAATGGTGGGCGGGACCACGTAGGGGAGTCTCAAGAACATGCTGCTGTTGATAATGAACAAGTTGATTCAGGATTGAATCTAAAAAGACATGTAGAGAGTTCAGAAGAGGGGCAGAATGGGGATTTTGTTGATGGGATAGAGGGTGGTGGGATTACACAGATTGATCAAGGAAAGATGGAGAAAGAGATGGGTGTTGCTGATAGTTTTGTGAACTCAAGAGAGGAAGGAGTGTCAACTGGGATTCAAGTGCACATATCACAGTTTGAAAGTTCTAATTTATCTGAAAATGAGAGTTGTCATGAGATTATTGACGATAGTCAGGATGAAGGGAGTGTTGATGGTGGGGAAGGGGATAACGTAAATGGAAGTGGTCTTTTAAATCCACAGCAGAGTATTGATGAACTAATCGATATCTCGCTTCAAGAGTTTGCTAAAAGTGTGTTCAAGGAGCGAGCAATAAGTCAGCTGTCTGACAAACAGGAGGAGGTGCCTCCTCCCCCTCCTCATGATAGTGGTATTTTAGACGTATATGCCTCTTTAATAACTGAAAGTGAAAGTGTGACTGAGCGACTGCCCGTCCTTACAGACAACATCCAACCAGATGCAGGTAATACTGATGAGATCTGTGCCTCTCCCCCCAAAACCAAAATAGATGAATCAGTTGTGTCAAGCAGCTCTCCTCTGAAAACCACTGCCCTCAATGAAAAAGTTGAACAGATACAATCAAAACCACCTGTTTTTGCAACCGCTGTGTCAACCACTGCAAGTCCGATAATCACCACTGATTCTACTGCTACAGTAGAGCCGGCCTACAGCTTGTATTTTGGTATAGCCACAGCTTGTTTGGGTGTTGTCATGTACTTTTACCTTAAGAGTTTATTCTAACATCAAAATGTTGATGTAGATTCTACTGCCCTGGAATTTTATTTCACTGCCAAATCAGGTAGAGAACAGCGAGTATTTACCATACTTCCTTGAATAAAAAACCATATCATGCTGTTGTGTCCAAAATCCCCTTGAATAATCAAGATAATCACCAAATTGCCAAATATTTTCACATGATTCCTACTAACCATGGTGCATAGACTTTAAATGATGGCATGTAGTCATTCATGGTGATAAACAAGAATGCCTTATTAATTTAAATTGTTTCTAAGATTAGCAGGTGATTTTTATTTTTTGTATAAAAATACTAGTGCCAAAATTGTTACTGTTGGCATTTTTGCCATATTTTCTTTATTTCTTGATTCTCTAATCTTTAATTTTTAATATTGTCAAATCATGGATTATTTAAGCTTCGCTGTGCTTTGTCTGGTTTCCTGTGAGTAACTTGTAGGCTGCATACCATCAATGTTTTGTTAATCATTTTTTCATTTATTCATTCATTCATTCATTCATTCATTTGTTTGTTCGTTCGTTTGCTTGCAATATGTGTAGTTCATGCTTTTGCACTCTGCATTGTTGTTGACTTGTCTGTGACACATCTCGCTGCACATTGCGCTTGCTACACACAATTGACAGTCTTGTACTTGCTGCGACACATTGTACTTGCTGCGACACATTGTACGTGCTGCGACACATTGTACGTGCTGCGACACATTGTACGTGCTGCGACACATTGTACGTGCTGCGACACATTGTACGTGCTGCGACACATTGTACGTGCTGCGACACATTGTACGTGCTGCGACACATTGTAGTGCTGCGACACATTGTAGTGCTGCGACACATTGTATTTGCTGCGACACATTGTATTTGCTGCGACACATTGTATTTGCTGCGACACATTGTATTTGCTGCGACACATTGTACTTGCTGCGACACATTGTAGTGCTGCGACACATTGTAGTGCTGCGACACATTGTACTTGCTGCGACACATTGTACTTGCTGCGACACATTGTACTTGCTGCGACACATTGTACTTGCTGCGACACATTGTACGTGCTGCGACACATTGTACGTGCTGCGACACATTGTACGTGCTGCGACACATTGTACGTGCTGCGACACATTGTACTTGTTGCTACACATTGTACTCGCTGCGAAACATTGAACTTGCTTGCGACACATGTAGCTTCACATTCCAACACATCTTGCTGCACGTAGTCTAGCTGTGATACCTGTTGTCTAGCTTACCCACCCATGTGGCATATTCCTGCTACACATTAGCTTGATGCATACTGCACTTGCTGAACCTGTGACATATCAAATGGCTGCATGGTCACTTCTTTATTGCACATGACAGACATACTCTCACACTGCTCATTTGGTTGTCTGCTGTTTGTCGTGAATTATACCTGCTCAAAGTATATCCATGAACAAATTTTATACTTCCAAATTAAAGTAACAAATTGTTAAGACCCATGTTTATTTCTCAGAATACTTCTTGTTGACAGACCTTGCTTAATGTTCCTAAGTGTCTTTAAATTTACTGATACCATGTGGCCAAAACCATGATATTTCTAAACTGACATCAATAATGTTTTTACATTAAATCCTGAAAGCTTGGTGCCAAAATTGTATTGAGATATTTGAAAACTAATCTACAATGTCGTAGATTACCGTATGTCTTTTTCAACTCATTTCATACTAAATCCATTTAAACTCCTGACAGTACTTCCATTTTTTATATCAGTTTTTCTACTATTTGATCATGGTCATCCACATACCTGCCAAACTTTATTTATTCAAGATATTGTGGTTGAATTTAAATTTGCTGACAAAACAAAGTAATTTCTTTAGGAATCACAACTCTTTAAAACTGACTACCGGTAATGCTTTGATAATGAACAAAAAACAATATTTATATACCATATTTTAAATCACTTAAATATTATCTTTTAATATCCTGTACATTTCTATAATAAACACTAAAATTTTAAAATGCATAATGAGGTTATTGCGATGATGTACAAATATGATGGGCAAAAGTGTCAATTGATGTATAACTTTATATCGCAACTTTGTACAACTTTCATCGCAACTGTGTACAAACGGAGTGCGTACTTTGTTCTATCCTCGTAACCTTGTGCATCTTCATGATCGATTGAGGTGCAAGTCCATGACTGAACAAGATGTTAGAAATTTGTGAAACTTTATTATAAACTTTGTTGTGTAACTACCATCTTGAAAAAGTAATTAAACTTCATCATTCCTTATTTGGAATTCTCATATCCCAATGGTAGGATGTAGATACCCAGGTCACTTCAGCATTCCTTATTTGGAATTCTCATATCCCAATGGTAGGATGAAGATACCCAGGTCACTTCATCATTCCTTATTTGGAATTCTCATTTCCCAATGGTAGGATGTAGATACCCAGGTCACTTCAGCATTCCTTATTTGGAATTCTCATTTCCCAATGGTAGGATGTAGATACCCAGGTCACTTCAGCATTCCTTATTTGGAATTCTCATTTCCCAATATGGTAGGATGTAGATACCCACGTTGCATTATTATTCTGTTTTTTTTGTATTCTCACTTTCTAATATGGTAGGATGTTTATGGAGATCTAGTGACAGGTTATTTATCTATCACTGTTAGTTACAGCATGCTGTAATTTAGTGATATTGCCCAGGGTATCTGCATTCTACTATATTAGAAAATGTGAATTACAAATATAGAATGCCTACTTGTATTTTGATAATAAAGTTCATAGTAGGAAATTTCCAACAATTGCAACCAAATACCTCATTTTTTTAGCTTCATAAATCAAGCGATTGTATCAGAAAGATGTATAATATGGTTATTACGAGAATATCGCAAAGTGTGCTACTCCATCAGTTTATACTTTTACTGTGCTGTTTTTGTGATATCTTCCCAATAACCTTGTAACATGCAGTGCCTTCCTAGGTTCACATGGTAACATCAGTACTATACTCAAAATACATCTTGGTAGATAGACCCACCCCTTTTTCAAATATACTTGGTGCCACCATTTCAACATTGTTAAGACACAAAACAGAACTTTATCATGGCAGTGTGAAATAAGGATTCATTTATGGGATTGGTTATTATTTTTAAGGGTTAGGTTTTCATAAATTTTAATATTCAAAGAATAACAATGCATTGTGCAAGTTGATAAATCAGCATGTTGGTCTGTGGAATTGAGATTATCTGCTGGGATCCAACTGAAACAACCACCTTGTTTGTTTTTCTAAAAAAAAATCCAACTAGTGTCTTTAACAGAAGTGACATTTTTGTGTGAAATTTAGACAAATCAAATGCTTCTTATTGGTGCAAACTGATCTAAGATTGGCTTAGCTGTGTGAAACAAAAGTGTTTCTATGGATTTGAGGACAGCAGCCTCATTTTTAAACAAATGCCACAGTGTAGTGTCAGTTTTTGTGTGTGTTTTATTGGTTCTTGGGAATGAATATTGCAATTCAACCTGCTCAAGACACATGTGGCATCAGCATTGTCTCTTTCAGAATGTCTGTTTCTATCTACACTTCAAATAGCATTATTAGAATAGAATATATAGCAAATATTATATCATAAATGCACCTATATTTTATAAGCAATCTTTATCCATGGAAATAATTGATGTACACTTTACAACACTCTTCCAATTTGTGCATAGATTTATTTATTATATACACCAGCAGTCCTCATTATAGCTGTATTTATTATATTCCTCCTTTCTCGCTTTGAAGTAAACTTTAAGTGGGAAGAAATAAATAACTAAATATAGTAATAAGAGGACCTGTTCATATTGTAATAGCATAAGTTGGTTTACTATTGTACCCTCAACACGTTTCATCTCTAGTATTATCAGAAATGAATATTCTGTGATTATGCGATGGTACTGTTGAATGTTTCTTTTGTAGTGGCACCTTGTCTTAGTTTTATTAGGCTTCATCATCTTAAAATTGATATTGTGTTTCTTACTGAAAGATTGTCACTTAAAGCATATGTAAAATATTTAGGTTGACTCCTTTCAAGTTCAGTACTTAATCTTTGCTAGAGCACAGTATCAAATGAAATGAAGTTGGTCTTCTGTTATTGTCGGCACTGCCTTTGTATTTCTAGAGCTTTTGTATCAATTAATAATTTTCCAACTGTGGTTTGTTTTCTGTTACTTTTCTCTTTTTCATACTAAGAGTGAATGGGTGCATGTTCAAGTGTGTAGTCTACGTCAGTGCAATACTTTTTGTAAAATTTACATTTAAGTTATATTAAAAACAAAATTAATTTCTATTCCAGAATTCCACTGCATTTCACTTTCATTTGTTCCGCATCTTTTACTTTCATCATCATGTATCTCTTGCTCTCTTATGGTGATTGGGACATTGTCATTTTTGCCTCGCCACCTCATTTTTGTTCCATGACCTCATCATTTTTAATATCGTCCAGCTTTATGGCCAACTGCCCAACAAGCCTTCATCAGCACTTCTCACTGTATGGTTCACCGAGAACATCCCAGACTTCGCTATGGATTGATACCCGCATTCAAGGGACTCCACATGCCAAAGATGTATTGCAGTGAATTTTTCACAAGGAGGATGATTGACCCCATATAAACTATTCCAGGTGTTCTCTCTGTTTTTTCATACTAAGTACTTCATGCTTTCTTGGTCTCTTAATCTCATCTCCATATCACCTTATTCTTTTCTACTCACCAAAAGGTTTTTGGTTTGAATGAGGCACAAAGTAAATTAACCCATGCCTGCTAACATCCTCATTAAAACAATCTAGCTGTTTTTTAACTTGATATGTACAAATTAGTGAATAGGAATCAAATTTTGCAAACCAATCTGTTTTCACTTTGCTCAATACTAATTTATTAACTCTCCGAACACCAAAATAGGTCATAATTTTTTCCCCAAACATTACGATAAAATTATGGAAATAGTTGAAAAAAAGTTTTACCAACAATTTGATGACCCTCAAGTGATATTTCATCTACGATGTTCTCAACTATCCAGACAAACCAGCCCAACAAATTGGTAATACTTGATACAAACAACAAAATAAAGACTATTCGAATCTTAGTTAAATATCTGAATACTTAGTGATTGCATGTGTGTGTTTATTAGTTATTTCAAATAGTACAGGGTTGAATTCTGTAAAACCTACTTCATTGCATTATGTATACTGTGTTGACACATCGCTGGCCGCTGCATCCTCAATACGTTTTGATTTGAACCATGGCCAACAAGGTGTTAACATTGTTAGAATCAGGAAACAAATACGAGTGTATGAATTTTGAGACCAAATTTTGTTATGATCTTAACAGCATGATAGCATGATTGTATAAATCCACTTTGTGTGATACTTTTTGTTCCCTGCAACTTGTCTTGCAAATAAAGATTATCTTTGTCATTATTGCAGCTTTCCGTAATTGGATGAACAGTCTTGGTGTGAATCCATATGTACAATATTTGTATACTGATTTATGTAATGGTCTCGTCATATTACAGGTATTGTTCCATTTATTATATTTTGTCTTGAAAAATTTTGCTGCGTACTTTGTTCATGCAGGTGTAAGAAAAATGCATTACTGGTACATCAGCATACAGAGGGGAGGTTTGACCTCCTTTTGAAGGGGTCATTCCATACATTGAATATGCAATGAATTATTGGTTGACAGAGGATTGTTCAATACAATAGTATTAAGAGATCTTGAAGGGAATTTTAGATCAAACCAGTTTTTTTTGGACAGTGATATCAGCACACTGGTGTAAAATTAGACGTGTACATAAAACTAGGCCGAAATGGAATTGTTTTACATCCATTCACAGCAATAAACCTCAGATGTAAATAGACACAGAAGTCTTATTATAAGTGAAAAAACCACAAAACTTTACCTCTCAAATATTGTTCCATTCTTTTAAGTCATAGCATTGTAGCCAGGAGATACAATGGCAAGAGAGAATGGAACACTATTTGATGTGCAAAAACAAATCTTTCGGCGCTCTCACTCTCGGCACCCATTTATCGTGAACCTGTATTAAGTCGTATTTAATGACTCTCAAAACTCTTGAGTATGTACATACTTGAACACACTCTTTTGCACACTCACTCATGGTCTGATATTCTTGTGTCATTTGCAATTAACTGTTTACATTGCCTCACCAGTTTTCTTGCTTTTTGTGCTTACAGCTCTACGACATGGTGAAGCCAAACTTTGTGGAATGGAGCCGAGTTACCAAACCACCATGGCCAAAGCTTGGTGGTGGTAAAATGCAAAAAATTGAGAACTGTAATTATTGTGTGGAGCTTGGTCAGAAAATGAGATTTTCTTTGGTTGGGATTGGTGGGAACGACATTCATGATGGCGTTGAAACACTCACATTAGGTAGGTTTGCACCTTTTCAGCATTATGTATCATACAGACTGCTGTTCATTCATGGATCATTGTAAGATATTACACTAAAATATTTTACAGCAATACATACTTACCATATATGTGAAAAAGCACCCCATAATAATTTTCAATGTTGTGATCTTAAATTGTTTGTGAATGGCTATAGACATACATGTACTGTACGGTCCAGTACAAATCTGGAAAACTTAAAATAGACACATTTCCTTTTTTCAATACATTGGTGTTAAGGAGATTTATATTAAAAGTTATTGGGAGAGGGGAGAGATTATCTAATTCTAAAATACATTTTCTATCTTCTTGTTAGCTGTTGTATGGCAGTTGATGCGTGCATATACTTTACGTATTCTACAACAGCTATCTGGTGCTGATAAGCCGCTGTCTGATGATAAAGTTATAGAATGGTGCAACACCAAGGTAAGTCTAATTATTCAAATTGTAGACATTATAGAAAAGTGTGATGTCAACTAATATACGGTAGGCATTTCAACGGGCATTTCAAGTTTCAATTGTTTATGATTTTGGATTTCCACATTTTGATTTTTCATGGGAATTCAATGCTAATCAAATACAGGAAGCAATGAATAGTTGACTGTTCTTTCAAAGCTACCGCTAAAATAAATAGAATAGAATTCTTTTTTGTTGTGCCATCCAATTAATTACCCACAATGCCAATATTGTGACTTTCTGAGGCATGATTTAGCAAGGGGTCACTGTGAAATCTTTATTTTGGGGGTGTTCAATCATTTGCTTCCTTTATGGACACTCTATTGTTTACTTGTAGCAATAAATACCAAGCATTTCTTGCAATCTTTTTAAATATCAAACCACTGTTTACTTGTATTTTGTGACCTATTTAGTTTGATGAATTGAGGTTATAAGTCAATCTAATGGTCCCAAATATGTAAACACATTGACAGGTTGAAAAACCTGTGGACAATATGCAACATTATATCCATTTACTTGAAAAAAAGAAATATATAAAATGCAAAAATGTTGTGATGTTGTGGACTGGATTTGTATTATCCACTCTTTTTGATGTCTCTTGTATCAACCAGCTCTACAAACAGGTGATAACCACATGGTAGCTTTTTTAGCTCTGTTGTCGACTTTGTCGAGCCGAGCTTATCATATGAGAGATTGTCCGTCGTCCGTGTCAATGTTTTACATTTTCGACTTCTTCTTGAAAACTACAAGTCTGAATGCTTTGATACTTGGTGTATATGTACCTTGGGTAGACCTCTCTCAGATTTGTTCATTTCATGATCATATCTTCAATTCTCTAATTTTGGTGAATATTTTTGTCATTTTTGGTAAAAAGTGATATTTTCAACTTCTTGCTAGAAACCGCAAGTCCAATTGCTTTGATATTACATATATAGGTACTACATGTGGACCACTCTCAAATTTGTTCATTTCATAATGATATCTTTAATTTTCTAATTTTGGTGAATATTTTTGTAATTTTTGGTAAAAAGTGATATTTTCGACTTCTTGTTAAAAACGACAAGTCCAATTGCTTTGATATTACATATATAGGTACTACATGTGGACCTCTCTCAGATTTGTTCATTTTGTAATGATATCTTTAATTCTCTAAATTTGGTGAATTTTTTTGTCATTTTTGGTAAAAAGTGATACTTTCGACTTCTTGTTAAAAACCACAATCATTTATGGTCAAAAATGATATTTGTTTAGGGACTCAGAGTAATCATGGCATATTTAATTCTAATGTCGTTCAATACAATGGCAAATTCTACCAGTAATTGGTCATCCTGTACCACATGCTGTCTAGTTATTAGGCAGTACACAAACCTACAGAGGACATTTCACATAAATCTGCAATATTCAATGTAAGAATCGTTTAAACAATCAAATTATTATTCGTATTTGTACATTAGAAAGCCTAGTCATTTCCATCTGCAAAATTTACTTGTAACTATGAGTGTGTTTTCACATGCCAATAGCTTTTGAGAATC